TTGTGCAGAAGAGCATGACTGAAAGCACAGCTCTGAAGCAGATGGGCTTGAGCAGCAGAAGACCAAACCAGGTGTCACAGCTAACATGAAACTGAGACTATAATTCACACAAACTCACCAAAATTAAAGAGTAGGAATGAGGACTCAATTTGTGCTACAACATTTAATCGTAAGGTCAGAATGTGTCAGTAACATAAAAGCACGGATCCATCTTACCCTGCTTTGGCAGTTCAGATGTTATAATGGTGTGGTAAATATTTTCTCTGCATGTATTTGGAACCACCTGAGTATTGTTGTACACGATGGATGTGAAGCTGACAAATCTGCAGGAAGCGCATGATCATGTTGATACGGACCCAGCACCTTGTTGAATCTGTGCCATGAAGAATTAAAGCATTTGTGAAGGCAACAAGAGGTCCAACCCAGTAATAGCAAGCTATAAATAATAAAGGAGCCAGTGAGTGTACATTTGTAAGAAAAAAAGAGAAAGAAACCCAGTTTATGTATTTAAATGAAAAATGGTCTGTTACTATCTCAATTTGCACAATCTTAAAAATTTGCTAACAATGTTTCTGAACGTTCGTTATTCATGCTTGAAAATTACTTTAACAAAAATAATTGTGAAGTTTGACTTTAGTACAGACACTTACACACATAATTTGAAATTATTTTATTATTTAAAGCTTCCCAAAGATATCCAAACGTTCAAAGATTTAGCACAAAGTTGAATTAGCGATAACACATAGGAAAACAACATTCTCAGTATTGCTGCCTTTGAATAGGAATTCACAATTATTTCAAGCACTTGTGAAATGATTCAACATGAAGAGCATCACTGTAGAAAGTTTTAGATGTAACGCGATTTATAGTATTTGTATTTTATTTTTTATCTAATCCTTGGTTCACTTATTGCCCAAATTTAAACAGCACAGTGTGACACTAAAACAGCAGAATTGCCGAATCCGTGTCGTGATGCATGTAGTTGCAAAAGTTAGCATTTCTGAAAATACACATATAAATAAATAGTTCTTTGATTGAACCTTACAAAGTAGATGCGAACAAGAAGAAGAAATTAAAAATTTCTGATTAAAGTAAACAGGAAGAGCCCAGAGATATTTGTGTATTTCCAGATTTCAGAGGAAAGTGTGGAACACACGGGTCTTCAGACTTTTCGTCCGTGGAATATTCCTTGTAGAGAACCTGAGCAGCTTGTACAAATTTGAGCAGCTTCCAAAGCTGGAAAAGGGGGACCAGTGAGCAGTCCGTTTGTTCCCATAAAGGTTCCAGAAAGAGGACGAGCAGCGCTGGAAAACCTCGATGCTGACTGCGTACTGACCCGGCCCCCACTGAGACACTCGCACCAGAATCACAGAAGAGTCAAAACCACAGGTGTGAGGAGAAACGCCGTGAAACACGGACTCCCCCGGCCTCACAGACGCTCCTCTCTCCCACACCCTTCCGGCCTCCTCTGCTAATCCCATTCCACTGATGTTACAGAGGGCCTGAAGGCACACATCCCCCAGAGCCTCCTTATCAGGAAACTGGAGCAGGATGGCAACAAGACGAGGCACCGCACCTTGGCGTAGTAATAGTTGCTGCAGCTTAGCTGAAGGGGAAAGTGAGCAATATTAAATCAATTTATTGAGCCAACTTTATTTATTTACTTTTACATGGGACTTGTTTTAAACAAATTTCCTCACAATGACAGATTTTTTTGTAAATCAAACATTTAGCAGAAACCCTGTTGGCTGCTTTCTATTTTCCATAAAGAGAATGAATAAGATTGTATTGTCTATTTCAGTACTGTTTAACTAAAAAATAAATAAATCCAGGAGATTTGATATATAGCATAAAGCAAATGTAATATGCAGTGTTGAATTTGATAGAAGCTTCAGACTGTGTTAACTTACAGCTATCATAAGACATGCGTGAGACGGCCCTTACTGCGTGGAAAAGCAACTCTTGGTCTGAACGGGTCAGGACCGACAACAAAGCTGCAACCAAGCCCGTGTCACCAAAACCTTTACGAATTACAGCTGATGGGAAAAAGAAACCTTGATAAAGTGTATTGATAAATAATATACGGTAAAGAAAGAAGACTTTGTACTAGACTAATAACACTTGAAGCAACACAGAGAGAAAGCTCTCGGGTTCACCAGCAAACCTATAGATTAACATTATACTTTATTTGTATTAAATAATAAACTGTACATAGATAAAGAACAATATAAGCATTGATTACTTACATTCCCTGGCAAGTTCAGCCACTAGTTTTGCAGTCAGCACACTCAGAGGCCCTCTGCTTCTCAGGCTCAGAGCAAGGATTGGCAAGATCCCACTGATCACCACCTGCTCAGCAGCACCTTTCTCTGGACACAAGTGGAATTGCATATTTAAAAATAATTCATATTTTTGACACTACCAGCACTTGTTGGATTCCCTTTATATATAGCCTTAGAAGAGTTTGTCTCTTAAGAGACTGCATAGACTATATGTCAAGTTACCTGAACTGAATCTTGTAATCTGTTTTTTTGCGTGACCTCTCTGATGCCTTCTTATCCTGCTGTTGACTTGCTGGGAGACACAAATATAGCTTAACCTCTTCTTAGTGCTTACAACTGCCTTGTACATCTCGCTTCATGGGGCCATTTCTTATCAGTGTGGTTTTGCGGCCTATGATATAGGTGCTGTTAAATATTCCTACATGTTTGTATACATTGCATGCACCTGTGACATTAACCCCTCATTAGATTTACATCACACACACAAAACAAACAAAAGCCATCAAATATTTTATATTGCTTTGCATAGTGTTATACCTAAAGCAACTAAAGGAACTTACTCTTCTCCTTAATGCTGGCCATCACTGTGTTCAAGTGGGGTTTAAGCTCATCTTCAATGAGCTCCACACCGAGGACTCTGATAGCGCCTAAGGCATTGTTTAAGTTGTCTGCAGGGGCAATCGGGAAAATGGAAATATTAAGAATTATAAAAGGATGGCATAAGAAATATGAATGTTACAAAGAGCTGGGCAGGACATGAAACAAAGCACGACACAAGAGAAATAATGTTTTACTGCACTTTGAACAGTAAATATAAGAACATGAAAAAGGTGCTCCTCGTGTAAAACCTCCACACACGAAATCTCGATGTCAGCTTCTTTCTTGTTTACGTTCAACTGATCAGCATTTTTTTAAGTACATGCTGAACCATGTAATCCTATGAGAAAAGCTCTTTGAAGCTAAACTTGTGCCCGGTGCTGCTTTGAGTCACATGTTTAGCAGTTATACTGCTTACTGTTTATTAGCATTCTGTTTGTTAATGCTGTTGCACAGAAAGAGAAAGCCAAGGATTAGCGTCAAACTCATTTTACATCAAGGGGCAGACCAGTAAAACCACTGCCTACAGTAATGACCTAAAGAATACCTCCAATTGGTTCTGTCTTTCTTTACTTAGAAGTCTATAGTCCTTTAAGTACAATTTAACAATATGTCTCAGCTTTTCTGCGTTATAAAGAAATGCTGCTGTAGTAAATGTTTTTTAAATCCATCAACAAGATTTACTGGGCGAGTAGAAATAATAAAAAAGCTTTTATTTTTCTAAAGCAATGGTTTATCTGTTACTTACTCTTACTTACGGTCTTTGTCAGTTAGAAGACAAAATAAATGTCAAATAAAAAAATAAAATAAATGAAAATACAGTTTATGCTCTTCTTCTTTATAATTTCTATATTTTTACAGAGTTATCCAATAGGCCAGACTGGACCATTTGGTGGGCCATAAGTTTGATATCCCAGACTTAAATAAATCAAACACAACGATTAACTCTGAACAAGCAGTGTCTGCATGGTGATATTTGATAGCAAGCAATACACGTAGGTGAGATTTTGGATGCTAAACTACAAAGATGGACAATTTAAAAGTTAGAGCTAGATGGAAAGTTGTGGGACTGTGATTGGAAAAGGGTTAGGGTCAGGTTTGTACCAGATGTACAGGATGCTAGTTAGACCAATAAAGACAGTGCAAAGTTAAAAAGCATAAAACATTTTCCCTAGATACAAAAAAGACATAAAAATGATGTTTTTTTTTTTTTAAAAAAAAAGGTAAGCCAAGCATTAATAAGTAGGATGTATTATATATAAAATTCAGAGAATTAAGGTCAGTTTGTAAGCTCTCAGATATACAATGTCAAAAGTGTTACTGTGTTTTTGTATAACTGTATGTAAAAGGATGTCTGGACAACTACTGAGGATCAGCATCAAAGCTTACTAATCATAAGAAGATACTCAATAATATAATATAAATCTTTCATAAGAAGAGGTCTGCCATCCTTACCGGTTATAGCCAAACAATTTGGATTTGAAGTTAGTTGAATTTACTAGACAACAGTGAAGTTTGTAGAATACTAATATCCAACTGCACGACCTGCTGAACTTGCATTAAAGGTTTTGTTGTGTATATATACACTAGTATCGGTATATAGCCTGCATACACTTGTGCAAAGCAGAAAAAACAGAGTTAATGAAACAGTGCTGCAGTAGAAGCTTGGCACACCTCACTGCTAACTAATCAAATCTGATTTACACACTCTCTTCTGCTGTGGCCATCAGTTCATGTTTGGATACAAAAAACATTGTTTGTACAGAAA